AACATTGTTTTCCCCTTCAAACACACGAGAGACTAAATACACTATTTGAAATGGGACAATAAATGAAAAACACTTGAAATAGAACAAAAAAAAAAGAAAACTTTGAAAGAAGGAACCCATTTGAAAGACAAAATAAAACCCATCTGAAAGAACATTAAACTCATTTGAAAGAAAAAAAACCTTTCGAAAAGAAAAATCCATTTGAAAGAAAAATCCATTTGAAAGAGAAAAAAACTCATTTGAAAGAGGAAAGACATACGAAAGAAAAAAAAAACATTTGAAAGAAAAATTAAAACCCATTTGAAAGAGAATAAGAAACCGTTTGAAAGAAAAATAACATTTGAAAGACAACCATTTGCAAGAAAAAAACATTTACAAATGAACGAAAAGCCCATTAAGAGAACAAAAAATCCATTTGCAAGAGAACAAAACAATTGGAGAACAAAAATAACATTTGAAACATAAAAAAACATTTGAAAGAACATAAACCCATTTGAAAGAGAACATAAACCCTACTTAAAATAGAAAAAAAAAACATTTGAAAGACAAAGGCAAACGAAGTCAAGTAAACAAAGCTGGACTGAAATGGGAAGAATAAACCCAGATTTTAAAGCTAGCTTTTATAAGGAAAATAATTAGCTGAGTTGTACTAGTGGAAGTTGCTTCAACAAAGCTGTGCTTGGCAACGCATGACATCTGTTGACATAACAACAAAGTATATATTGATACATACGAAAGAATATACACAGACATAAATCGACAGTCATTTGAAGGCAGAAAGAACAACAGAATGAATAAAATATTCTCAAGACATGGTTACATGTGCAACAGGACATGGTTACATGTGCAACAGGACATGGTTACATGTGCAACAGGACATGGTTACATGTGCAACAAGACATGGTTACATGTGCAACAAGACATGGTTACATGTGCAACAGGACATGGTTACATGTGCAACAGGACATGGTTACATGTGCAACAAGACTGTACATGTGCAAGACATGGTACATGTGCAACAGACATGTACCTGGTGCAAAAGACATGTACATGTGCAACAGACATGGTTACATGTGCAACAAGACATGGTTACATGTGCAACAAGACATGGTTACATGTGCAACAAGACATGGTTACATGTGCAACAGGACATGGTTACATGTGCAACAAGACATGGTTACATGTGCAACAGGACATGGTTACATGTGCAACAAGACATGGTTACATGTGCAACAAGACATGGTTACATGTGCAACAAGACATGGTTACATGTGCAACAAGACATGGTTACATGTGCAACAGGAAATGGTTACAACATGTGCAACAAGACATGGTGAAAACAAGAGCAACAAGACATGGTTAAAACATGTGCTACAAGAAATAGTTTAAACATGGCAAGGCTTAAAACACTAATATATGGAGAAACTCGTGGTACAATAAGTTGCTAAAAATACCTGCAAATGACGTGGAAAAACGCCTGCAACAAGCCTTGGAAACAAAACTTGCAACAAAACGTGAATAAAACATCTGCAACAAAAAATGGAAAAAAACACGTGCAACAAAACGTGGATAAAACACCTTTAACAAGACGTGGATAAAAGCAGAGAGAGACTGCTTGAAGATGGATCAGAATACAAGATTAAGAAGAAGAATGGATAAAAAGAGAAACAGAAGAACGGTGATATAATAAGAATGGGCAAGAGGAGGCATAGAAAAAAACATAAAAAATACAGAAAAAAGGCAAAAGAAAAAGGAAGAATGAATTGGAAAAAAATAATTGAAGAAAAAAGTTAACTTAATAATAATAGTAACAATAATAATAAAAAATAATCCAGCAATAAAAACATTAATAATAAAAGAAATGTGAACAGATGCAAAATATAAAAAAGGAAAAAGGAGATAGAGAATAAAAATACTAATGACAGACTCAGGAACAACATTAAGAAAAAATGAATGAAAAGAGGAACTAGAAGGACAATAACACAGTGACGAGGACGACAGTGACGAGGACGACAGTGACGAGGACGACAGTGACGAGGACGACAGTGACGAGGACGGCAGTGACGACCATTATAATGATACTGATGTTCAGAATTTTGAAAATATCAATTAAGATTATGATAAAACTAAAGAGACTAAAGAAGGATATATATAATATATATATATATATATATATATATATATATATATATATATATATATATCGAATGGGTAATACTTGCTAATATGGCTTACATTGTAATGCTCTTCTTGCCGAATAAAGCAAACAAAAATTTGTGCATGCAGTAATTTCGCAAAAATCATTCTGAACCTAAAGATAAAAAAATATACATTAAATTATTGTAATCTTATCTAAAATATATTTAGCTGGATTAAGTTAGATAAGTTTTCTGAGGTTCTTTTGGTACAAAGTTATTAGTTTTTTAACATAAATGAAAAATATGTCTTTAAACGAGTAAAAGAAAATTTTAGAAAGGACTTAATTTTAAACGAGTTCTTGCTAATTGACCAGTTTTACTTATTCGGCACGACATATATATATTATTATATATATATATATATATATATAATATATTATATATATATTATATATTATTTATATATAATATATATATATATATATATATATATATATATATATATATATATATATTTATATATATATATATATATATATATATATATATATATATATATATATATATAATATATATATATGTATGTGTCTATATGTATGTGTCTATATGTATATATTGGGGTTGTGTGGTGTGTGTGGGGTGTGTGTGTGTGTGTGTGTTTGTGTGTACAGATTGTGATTGTATTATAGGACATACGAAGAGTTCGTATATATAAACAGCATGCATATTTCTCGCGCATGTACTGTCCGTATACTTTGTATGCATACTCCATGAATAAATTATGTATGCACATTCCTTGCTTCACGTATGTATACACATTGTATTTATAAATGAAAGTGTTTTCACATTTTATTTTAGTGGAGAAAGAACATGAAATGAAAGACCTCCAGAAACATTACCAGAGAACTTTTTTGAAAGCAAAATAAAAAAATCTTTTTAAGCATGCAGCTACAACCTGTCATAATGACTGACAGGAGAAACCAGACTCATGATGTGCATGAAACTAAAATAATACATGCAATTAATATATATATATATATATATATATATATATATATATATATATATATATATATATAATATATTAATATATATATATATATATAATTGTATTATATATATATAATGTATATATATATATATATATATATATATTTATATATATATATATATATATATATATAAATATATATATATTATATAATGATATATAATATTTATATATATATATATTATAAATTATATATATATATAATATATATATATATATATATATATATATATATTATATATATATTATATATATATATAATATATATATATATATATATATATATTTTTAATCGACTGATATTTTTATCCATGAGAGGTTAAAGGATAATTATCCGCTTATATAAGATTAAAGGATATTCACAGGAGCAGTGGACGGGACTGAAGGATATCAAAGTGCACAATGAGACATGTCGAAGGATAACTGGAGCAGGACGAACCAGAAGGAGACTGAAAGAAATTAACACGAGGAAGCGGCAGAAACTTGAAGATAACAACAACAGGATGGGCTTGCAGGATAGACTGTAAACAAGAACAGGAAGGAGGCTGATGAACGTGTCATCCATATGAAGTAATCCTTCTGGTCAGTTTGCCATCCATCATTCTAAACTACAGTAACGTTATTCAGCTAAACGAATCCTGATCCACATACATTAGAGTGTGAACTAAATGAAAGAGAGGCCAAATAGGTCGGAGAGTCAACGCGCACTAACCTTCGACCTGCACTATGGTCCCCTTGACAGTGATATACGGAGCTTCATTCAACAGGAGGGACTGTATGGTAACCAGAGACAGACAATGGTAGGGTCACGCGAATGGTTGATGGTAGGGGCTCCAGTGGTAGCTGGCTGTCAGTAATAGCTAAGGGTTAATGGTTGCACTTTCAATGAGGGAATCTTGCTTTCCCTATTTTGGCCACAGGTGTTTAATCCATGTCTCACTGTCCCTGCTGGGCGAGGCTAGAGTCCCCGGCCCGGGCCATTGTTGGATAAGGAGGGAGGGAAAAAACTAAGATTTCATATGCAAATGAGGCTGCTACAGCAGGGTCTATGATGGAATGAGAGGGACAAGGGCAAGGTTAACTGTGAAGATTTTTTTTGTTTCCCGGTGTTTGTCTGCTAGCAGTTGTAAAAACAAACTCTGCGATCATTCACTGACGTATAATGCCGGAGAAGTGTTTCGGTAGCATATTCAAAAGCGTTCCATGGATACTTAATATCTTGCCTTAACAAGATTTCCTTAATCCTATATGCATTTTCATATTATATTAACTTATATCAAGTAATATACATTGTACACCACAAACACACAATATTTTAGCATGTCACTTAAAAAAAAAGTGTCTTCAAAATAGCACTAATGACAATTCTCTGAATAGGTCAGCCAAGAGAAGAAATTGAGATGCAGACAAAATGCAAGAAAAATGTAGACCAATTTCTCCCATTACTGTTGACAGTTTCTACCTGAAGAAAGCGCGCCAAGTTTAAAAATCGGCGCGCGGGGTGACGGGTGGAGGCACACGTGTCACGTCAACTCTCAACCGTCTGTCACATCATTCAACTGCACTATATTGCAAAGTGCTCTTTATATATTCCTTTATTTTGATTTCGTACTCGATAACTGTCGCACTTCGATTCACAGTTTTCATTTCTTCTTCCTGTACAATCAAGCAAAAAAATGCCTCTTACTTTAATTTCACTTTTTTTTTTTTTTGTTTTCCCCTTTGAACACTAAGTCTCAGTCGGACAACTTTGCATTTTTATCTTACGACACATCACATATTGCTCACAGAAGACACTTTCCACAACCTACCTTCAGTTGATCTTCGACGTTCATTGCAAGAAGCAACTGTACAAAAGCCTCCAGAGGGGGCGATCCAGTAGCTCCTGACGGGGGGAATCCTGGTGTAGAGGAGAGTGAGGGCGCCAGAGACGAGGGCGTGAAGGAGGGAGGTAGCGAGGCAAACGACACTGGCGGGGGACCGTAAGGCCCGGAAGACGGTGGGAATGATCCTGACGAGTAGTTGGAGTATCCCATAGGATGCTCTGGAAGAGGTCGCTGGCCGTAAGGCATCTCCATATTCCTTGGTGGGTAGGCTGGCGGGGAGGGGGGCGGTTCTAGTTTGGCTGGTAGCGAAGAAGGTTCTGAAGTCCTCAAGCAGAAGAGTGAAGAATCCATTGGCCTTGGGGTGAAGGAGGGAGAAGCCAGAGTCCGTGGGGGGTAAGAGGAAGGAGACCCTAAGGACGGTGTTGGATACGCGGGGGAATCCATCGTTCTGGGAGTCGGTTCGTCCGGGTCGGAAGTTGTAGGCATGGGGGTTGAGAGGTCAGGCGAAGCTGTGGGGTTGGGGGGAGGCAGTGTGGAGGGTGGGATGTCACACTCGTGGGTAGCCAGCGTGAAGGCTTGCGAGGTCACCAACTATTCGGAAGAAATCGGCCCGTAATGGGCAGCGAGGTCAGGCAATGTATATCGAGGTCACCAAGTTGCAAGAGGTGAGGTCAGTTCAGTTAGGCGCGAGCGGGTCAAGTGGGGCTCATGGCGGGTGCCGGGGGCTGAGATGGCGCTCCAGCACAAGACTGCACGCGTCGCCACGCTAGCTAGACTGAGGCCGCGAGCTGAGCTGGCCGAGCGATCGAAGCGACTGGGGAGTTTAGGCCCGTCTCGACGAGTGCCGACTCTTGGGCCGGCCAGCGCCAAAAAGGCGCAAGTTTTGGGGGGACGACGCAGCAAGGTGGATCATTTCCTGTTTTCCAGTGTGCAAGGGGCCGGCCTTTTCTTCTCAAGACGCAGCCGCCCGTGTTTTGCAGCGCACTCATCTCGGCCAGCGGTGCTGGGCCTGCCCACTGGCGGCCGGGCGGGGGCAGGGAGACGCCGAGGAGGCCGAGAAGGAGGAGGAGGAGGCGACTAAGGAGGCGGGCGGCGTCGTGGCTGGGCGGCGCGGCAGGAAGCTCCAGCTCTTCAAGACGCTACCGTGGTGGTGGCAGCGGCGCTGTAGTAGGCAGCTGTGGTGGTGGTGGTGGTGGTGTTGCAGCAGGCAGTTGTACACACGTGAGGGAGGCACTGTGTTCCCGGCACGTCCCCGCGCTGGACACTGACCCACAGGCTGCGCCCTCCCATGGCATGCAGGCACAATGCACGGCCTAGTTTGCATCATAATACCTCGGGAAAGGACGCGCTTAACGGTCAGTTGCAAAGAGAGGGGGATCAAAGCAGTGTAAAGGCTGTTGGGAGTGCAGTGCAGCTGTAAGTGCATTACCAGAGGTCCGCCTGCAGTTTAGTTGCAGTCCAGTTGGTGTGATGACCACTAGCTGACCCCTTTAATAGAATTATGTTTTATTCATTTAAAACTCGTCATGGGTCAAACTCTTCGCTAGATGAACACAAGAAGTAATTACAATTTCGACTCGCAAGCATCTAGTTGTTTGCAGGCTCATTTCCTTCCTCCCCAAGTAATAACGTCCAGTTTAAAAAAAAAAAAAAAGTTTGGTGATAGGCCGTCTAGGATAGGCCGAGTATCGGGTGACGTTGATTGGCTGAGCAAGAGAGCTCCTTAAACGCGGCGGTGATGGGCGGAGTTAGGCTGCGCAGCCGCCCTCCTCCAGGCCCCGCCCACCCTAACCCCGCTAACGCGACCTCCTTACCAAATATATTGAACGCCTTCTTCATCTTAATGGCCTCTACTTCCTTCAGCACTATGACCCTTACGTACGCCAGTCAGAGCAAAGAATAGCAGGATATTGCACCGCTGCGTCTAGTTCTTAGGTAATGAGTAGTATTCTATCTACTGTAAGCCTACGACTGGCAGCCAATCAGGGAACAGCTGGGTTAGCCAGGCCTATGGGCGTGCACATGTTGTAACGCAGAGTAGCAAGCACTCAGGTTTAGCTACCGTTGCTTGGAGTTTGTGTTGACGCCTGGGACTTGACTCCCAGTTCCCCTCGTTCTCAGTTCCCCAGTGCTTGCACACGTTGTAGCAGCAGGTCCTGCCACCACCTGCAGCAGCAGGTCCTGCCACCACCTGCCTCGCCACTGCTCTTGGCTCAGCTGTGTGTGTGAGTGTGTGAGTGTGTGTGTGTGTGTATGTGTGTGTGTAGATCACTCACGCCACGAGTTGCCAGCTGACGCGAGTCAGTTGGCTTTGCTGTAGCAGCTTGCCTGCTCGCGTGGCAGCTACTGCTGCTGCTATTATAGGGGCCACCTCGTGCGACCCAAGGTGTGACCTGACGTGCAGTGACTGGTATGGTCACAACTGAAGTAGGCGATGGAACACGTGTGCAAAATCGATGAGGGCCACATGGAACGTGTGACCTAACGTGAATGAATTCTCATGGATCCAATTCTGGGCCAGAAGTGTGACCTGACGTGACCCTGGGGGACTAGTGAGGTTATCAAAACATCCTGACGTGGTCTAGATGACCTGTAGTGGTCCAGACAGTCACTTGATCTAGTTTAGACGATTGATTGTCGTGTAGATGATCTCTCGTGGTCTACATAGTCAACTGCCAAGGTCTAAACGGCCTGTTCTGGTCTTGGTCATCTGATCTGGTCTTCATGACCTATCCTTGTCTAAATGGTCAAGTGACTTGGCTCAGATGGTCACTTTTCGTGGTCTAGATGGTTACCTGTCGTGATGTAGAAGACCTGTCGTGGCCTGAATTACATGTATTCTTAACCTGTTGTGGTCTAGATGACCAACTGTTCTCTAGATACCAGCTATTGTCTAGTGGCTAGCGCGACGGGCTGGAGTTTTGAGACTCTATGACCGCGGGTTCAATCCCGGCCGGGGGTATGGTTTATTGTCTAGATGACCAGCTGTTGTCTAGATGACTAGCTGTTGTCTAGATGATCAGCTGTTGTCTAGATGATCAGCTGTTGTCTAGATGATCAGCTGTTGTAGATGACCTGTCGCATTCTAGATGACCTGTCGCATTCTACATGACCAGTTAAGGTCTAAATGGCCTGTCATGTAGTCTACATGACCTGTCGTATTCTTGACAACCTATCGTGGTCTAGATGACCAGTCGTACACTTGAGGACCTCTCTTGGTCTAGATGACCTGTCTTATACTTGAGGACCTCTCTTGGTCTAGATGACCTGTTGTATTCTCGACGACCTGTAGTGATTGATGGGTTCTGGATGACCTGACTAGGTCATCCTGGTAACCAATTTCCCCTCTAACTCGTACGGGTAGTTCATAGACGTCACTTGAGTGACCTGTAGACCGATGAAGGGAATGATTATCTAGAATGATCGCGTGGATGACCTGTGAAATGAACAGTGAGATTACCTGCAGAGAAGTAATCCCTGGGGTGACCTGTAAATTGACCAACGGGGTGACCTGTAAATTGAACAACGGGGTAACCTGAAGACTGACCAATGGGGTGACTTGAACACTGATCACTAGAGTAACCTGCAGACTGATCACCAGAGTAACCTGCAGACTGACCAATAGTGTGACCAGTAGACTGACCAATAGAGTAACCTGTAGATTGACCAATAGAGTGGCCTGCAGATTGACCAAGATTGACTTGTAGACTGATCACTAGAGTGACCTGCAGACTGACAAATAGTGACCTGCAGGCTGACCACTCCACTAGAGTGACCTGTAGACTGATCACTAGTGGCCTGCAGACTGACCACTAGAGTGACCTGTAGACTGACCACTAGAGTGACCTGTAAACTGACCACTAATGGCCTGTCAGACTGATCACTAGAGTGACCTGTAGGCTGACCACTATAATGATCTGTAGACTGATCACTAGTGACCTTCAGATTGGTCACTAGAGTGACCTGTAGACTGGCTAGTGACCTGTAGACTGACCACTAGAGTGACCTGAAGATCACATGATCCTTCAGATGATACTAGTAACCTGAACTGACCACTAGACCTTGACCAATAGAGGTAACCTGTAGATGATCAATAGAGTAGGCCTGCAGACTGACCAAGTAATGAACTGTAGGACTAGATCACTAGATTGACCAATATGGCTGCATGACCAATGCTAGACTGACACAGTACATATACCTGCAGACTGACCCTAAGAGATCTGACGATCACTAGTGGCCTGTAGACTGACCACTAGAGTGACCTGTAAACTGACCACTAATGGCCAGCAGACTGATCACTAGAGTGACCTGTAGACTGGGCACTACAGTGATCTGTAGACTGATCACTAGTGACCTTCAGATTGATCACTAGAGTGACCTGTAGACTGGCCACTAGAGTGATCTGTAGACTGATCACTAGTGACCTTCAGATTGAACACTAGAGTGACCTGTGGACTGACCACTAGAGTGACCTGTGGACTGACCACTAGAGTGACCTGTAAAATGACCACTAGAGTGACCTGCAGACTGATCACTAGAGTCATCTGTAGACTGATTAGTGACCTGTAATGACGTAGAGTCAGTGCAGCATCACTAGTGCTCAGACTGATCACTAGAGTGACCTATAGATTGACCACTAAAGTGGCCTGCAGACCGAATAGAGTGACCTGTAAACTGATCATTAGAGTGACCTGCAGATTGATCACTAGTGGCCTTCAGACTGATCACTAGAGCGATATGTAAACTGATTAGTGACCTGTAGACTGACCACTAGAATGATCTGTAGACTAATCACTAGTGACCTTTGACTGATCACTAGAGTGATCCATAAACTGATTAGTGACCTGTAGACTGACAACTAGAGTGATCTGTAGACTGACAACTAGAGTGATCTGTAGACTGATCACTAGAGTGACCTGCAGACCGAATAGAGTAACCTGTAAACTGCTCACTAGTGTGACCTGCAGACTGATCACAAGTGGCCTGCAGACTGATCACTAGAATGACCTGTGGACTGACCACTAGAGTAATCTGTAGGCTGATCACTAGTGACCTTCAAACTGATCACTAGAGTGACCTTTAGAGTTACCTGTAGACTGACCACTAGAGTGACTTGCAGACTGTTCACTAGTGACCCCTCAGACTGATCACTAGTGACACCTGTAGAATGACCACTAGAGTGACCTGCAGACTGATCATTAGAGTGACCTGCAGACTGATCACTAGTGACCTTCAGACCGATCACTAGAGTGACCTGTCGACTGACCACTAGAGTGACTTGCAGACTGACTAGAGCGACAAGTGAAAGGACTTGAGCACTAGAGAATGAAACTGATAGATATAGAGACGACCTGCAGACTGTACTAGAGTGACCTGCAGACTGACAACTCGAGTGACCTGCAGACTGACCACTGGAGTGACCTGCAGAATGACTAGAGTGACCTGTAAACTGACCACTAGAGTGACCTGCAGACTGGTCACCATATATATATATATATATATATATATATATATATATATATATATATATATATATATATATATATATATATATATATATATTATAGGATGGGGTCCACCTCTGGTGTAAATTGTGGGACCCATAGCCTCGGAGAAGTGCATAAAAAGGCTTCAAGGAGGAA